ACTCCTGGGCTGCCCCACCCCTCTTAGCACTTCCCCTGGAGACCAGATTGGAGGGCGCACGGCTCTGCTCCCTCACAGCATGGCCAGCCTGGTCTCTTACACCTGGCCTTACTTGGCACTTGTTAAGAGTCCTGCCCACTGTGTGCACAGGGACACAAACTCACAGGGCCCGGGATCCTGCCCTCAGGAAGACAACCACAGAAACAGGGCTGTGGGTGAGCAGGTACTCTGACAGACCCTGTGGGGGGTGGGGGGGAGCATTTCCTATAAGCAGAGCACAGGGGACAGGCTGTCCCAAGTGGGCAGGGCAGGGCCTCAGAGAGGAGGCAGCTGGTCTGCAGTCATCAGTTCTCATGGAGGTTGGAGGCCAGGTGCGGTGCAGTGAATTACTTAATGTGGCCCTGCTTGCTGGAACCTTCTTAACTCCCTGCAAATAACTGGGCAACTATGAGCTGCGTATGACCCAGCCAGCAGATTGGACAGCTTGCTGAGAATGTAAAACTGGGCCTGGTACCTTTGTGGGAGTGGGACCCTGCAAATAAGGTGTATGGAACCCTAACGTGGGGTTGGTCAGCTTTGCCATCCGGGCTGGGCTCAGAGCGGCAGCAGAGGTGGAAAGGAGGGTCCCGCTCCCATTGGGAGAGAAAAGGGACCGCTCGATGCCTGCAGTGAGCCTCCCCAATCCAGGAGACAGAGAGCTGGGGCCGCACAGGGTGATGAGAAGCCGTGGTAGCCAAATGGCAGCAGAACCAGAAGGCTGGCACAAGACAGAGCAGGGGGCATCTGGCCCACAGAATGAGAGAGCAGAGTGCGGTTGGGCAGGGGGCTTCTGGCAGAGTGGAGTACCTCTAGGTTGTTGAGGGAGCTAGATTTGCCAACCTCACCAAGGGAGCTAGAGCTAAACACCCTCAGGCTGCGCCGTACTGGTGGAGTGGGGAGCCTCTGGGCACTGAATTCGCAGCAAAAAAAAGGTGGGGGGTGTGTGTGTAACACTTGCCTAAACAAGGTATGGCATTGAGTTTGAAGATGAAACCATGGCCAAGGCCCAGGGAGGCATGATTGAGAAGAGATTGTCCTGAATGAAGAACTGTATCCTGAACATTCCTGACCTGAAGTTGGAAGCTGTTACTTCCCTAGTAACCCACTTAATCGTGAGTACTGCCCGTGGGCTCTGGGCGGCCATTGCAATGAATGATCAAACCCAGCGGAGAAGCGGAGCACCCTGGAACTGACGGCCGTGTTGGGACTGGTGAAAGAAAGCAGGCTGTATCTTGCTATGGCTTGATTTTTTGGGTGCATATTATTAGCTCTACAGATCTATCTAGATAAGATAGGCTGAATGAATACTCTGGAGTAGAAAACAATGGTTGGGGGGGGCATGAGAGAGGGGGAGGCGGGGGTAAGGAGGTGGTGCTGACCAACCCAGGGACAGGGGAGCAACAAGTGATCCAAAATTAGTGGCAAGGAGGGTGCGAGAGGCCTGGTAGGGCTTCAGCAAGGGCAGTGTAACCGAGAGAAATTACTGAAACCCAAATGAAGGCTGAGCAGCATAGTGGGACAAGAGGAAAGTAAAAGGAAATAGAGGAAAGAACTAGG